AATGAGTGTTGCCTTGTCAGGCACACCATGCTCAACGTCGTTGAACAGGGCGATCGTGTCCTCCTCCACAATGCCGGCGAGAAATGTGTTAATTGAGGTCCCTGTGAAACCAACGTTCCAATCTGATTGAACCTCGACGGTGACATTTCGAGAAATCTCAATGGCCGTCTCTACCCATAGACCAGAGATGGCGATTGTTAGAAGGCTACCAATGGTAGACGCCACCAGCGACAGCGTGGCCCCAATGTGCATGTGATATATCGTCTTATATAATGCTACTGGTGGTAGGTCACCCAGAATGGTGAATTGTATCGTGCGTTCTGCGGTTGCACCCCCGATAGCCAACGCGCTAAATGATGTCATGGTGGCAATGGCAAAATCTAACGTGTTGAAAAGAGTAGAGATAATGAGAACTATAGCAATAGAGCTGTACCGAATAGCATATGCAGCTATACTAGCGTCAGATGCAACGGTCACAAAATGCTCGTTGTTGTCGGATAAATATCGAAGAATCTCGAGAGTTCCAATTGCGGTCGCGGGAAGTATCAAAGTCAATGCTATTGCGTGGCGGTGACTGGAATATGGCATCCATGCCCCTTTCTTTCGTGGTTTGGGGTCTGGTGACTGGCTTTTGCGTTTCCAGCTTGTTGACTCCCACTTTCTCGCAAGGAAGCCAGGCGACTTCGTTGACGCTTCTTTACGAGACACTGCCACTGCCTCAACGCGAAGCATCCCAGTGCGATCTCCAACTGTGAAAAAGTCATAGTTGGCTAGACATTTCCGTATATCACTCAGCCGTATGAGATTAGACTCTTTTAGAAGTCGCCCCGTGGTCGGACTTCTGGACATGGTGTAGGCGGCGTTAGCAAGGGTAGCTGGAGAGTGTGGTGCTACTCCCTGCTTGCTGTAAACTGCGAAAAGCAGGACAAGGCAGGAGATAAAGGCTAGTAGTCCAACCATAGCCCATAAAGCGGCTTGCCTGGTGTAAAGCCTTCGTTCTGTGCAGTGGATAGAGCCTGCAGTTGCAACATCAGCTGGCAAGAGGAAATATCGACGCATCAATTGATGGCTTAGACCGTTGAAGGTTACTTCGGCTTTGTTCTTGAGCGATGACACGTCGAGAAGTGGGTCAAACGTGGTTGGTACGATGGTTCTTGAACCCATCAACAACCCGAGAAGGTCTAGACGTCCATCATCCATAAGAGCGATAGATAAAGAGGTATTGGTAGTATTTGCATTGGAAGCACTGATGAACATAGCATCAAGAATGTCAGAACCCGTGAGATTGTCGATCTGGCTCTGGTGTGTGTTTGTGATTTCCAATGAGTCGACTTTATTTGTGTCGAATGCTGGCCCATGCGCAACGCCTTGATGTATCGAGTATTGCAGACCACAAGAAACGGCCGCGATGCGCCGAACATTAACACTATAGTTACCGGGATATGTTTCTTGGTCTGAAACAAGCGTCACGTCGCTTTCGATCGTCACAATTGCCAATCGATATTCATCAGCGTTCAGATAAGGATCGCCGAAGTTGACAACATCAAAGCCCTGACCCCTGCATCCAACCCAGCCGGATTGGAAATATCTAGATCCCAAACGACAGAAGAGTGCATTCTGGGAATTGCACGCCGCTATCTCAATTGTACCGATGTCGCACGAAGGAGTTTTCAACGTTAAGTTAAAGAAACGGGCAGGCAGATTCTGTGACCAGTGGACGGTGGTAGTCTCACAAGTGGTGTTGACTTGGAAAGCATCGACCTGGACGGACACTTTATCTGCGCCCTTGTGGATTTCGGAGCTGATGGAGTAGTTCGTGAAGGCCATAGAAAGCTCAACCGGAGGAGGCGCGTCGCCATGCTCTTCCCGTAGATCCAAATAATCCCAGACCGGATCGCTTGTCACGATGGATTTGCTTCCAAGGATAGAGTCGCGGTACTTGGTAGCATTAAACTTCGTTACTAGCTGTGCTTGTATATTTTGGGAGAAAGAAGTGTCCTCGAGGACGAAGAGTGTAGTAGATACTACCATGACTAGTCTAAGAAGAGTGAAGATAAGGATTGATGTTGCCACGGCTAGGTGTCTGTTCTTGAGTGCCTTGGTGAAGCTTGTGATCTGGAGAGGCCATATGTAGTCGAGGAGTACTGTCTGAGCGGCTTCTTGCGGGCCATTGTGGAGCTCATGCCATGGTTGGCTTACCATGGTACAATAATTTACTTGTTTCCATAAACTGACCACCACAGTGAAGATCGCAGTTGGTCCATATGTCCAAGTATAGTGGTTTGAAGTGAGCGTTAGAGGTATCCCGTTGTAGCGATTGACGAGACACCACATGAGAATAAGCCCCGAAACAAAAGTAATAAGGAGAGTACAGAAAGTAAATAGTACTGATTTTCGAAGGCATGTTGGGTGCCATAAGGCTGGTGTTGTCTGTTCGACCATCTTTGCTTAGCTATAACATGAAACAATATAAAAACATTATCGAAACAACAATCAAATAATAGGGAAAAGAGAAAAGGAGAAACTCAGTAGACAGATCCAGTCATGGCATTCCTGTCATTGCCTTCATGTCAGCTAAAGCCTCCTCGTAAGCTGCTATGCGTCGAGTTTACTATTTTAGCATTTCTTCTCTCCTGGTATGTGCCCTGTGTCACATTATTTGACAGAGGATTGGCCAGCTATTTCCAGTCCTGCACATCTTAGGGGCGCAGCATAGGGCCGTTGCGCATTTTGTGGCGTATCTAGGCCGCAGTTTGGGGGTTGCCCTGTACATATGCGTAAAGGGTAAGTAAATCCGCCCACGACTGCCCCATAGCCCCAAGATGTGTATTAATACCAGACTTTCAATATGTTACCACCAGATCCCTACTTAATCATGTAAGCTCCGCTCGATACTCCCACAATTCAAGCCCCCAAGATATCTCATTTCTCCCCCAATTCACCAATTGGCGGTTGGCCATTCAGCTCACTAGCAGCCGGATGCGCATCACATAGCTCGCCGGCACTCGGCTTCCCGTACCCAAACGTGTGAGACCCAGACAAATAATTACCAGAGTGATCCGATGTAGGTATCTCTTCCATTTTGCGACGTGACTCTATTGGACCCGGTGGCGCTCGGTTCCGCCGCGGCTTATGCCACATGAGATACCAGGCAGCTGCTAAGATGACGAGGAGCCCGGCAAAAGCACCAATTGCGATCCCGGCTGCGGCGCCGGGGCTGATAGCATCCGTGGGCCTGGCGCCATTGACATCGATAATGCCCATGTCATGCGGACTGGTGGCATACGAGGACGATGTGGTTGTTGAAGAGGTTGATTGTGGGCTGGTAGTGCCCTGTTCACAACTCGGTCAGTAAAAGTCAACCCCCAGCAGATGTCACAGTCCAACGTATATCTCATCAGGTCGTGAACTCACGACTTACAGTAGACGCAGCAGTCGCGACCAAGTCCGTCGCCTGATACCGAACTTGTATCGAGTAAGCATTGAAGCCATTGCTAGACACAAGAGTAGTGGTCTGCTCCAGAAACGTAGCGCCGTCCGAGACGGAATTGAAAGTCAACACAGTGCTGCTCTCGACCGTCGAAACGCAGCCAAGGGTGGATTCCCAAAAGTACTTGTCCGTTGGTCGCGTCTGGCAGGAATACGCTGCTTGTCTATTTACATTGCAGATGAGTGTTAGCGCAACGCATCGTCAACAAAATGCGAACAGACACGAGAGGGGGTGGTGGAGAGTGTTAAAGATGATGGCACATACGTAGGGCAACACGTCACAATCGTCTCCGTGAGAGTGCCGCCCAGCGGCCGATAACCCTGACAGGCAGCTGTGAAGCCTGTAGGACATTGGCCAGGAGAATAATACTGCTCACCCAACGTCGAAGTAGCATAGCCACTGGGATAACAAGTTGTCTGTTCCTCTGGACCTTGGATCAGCCACCAACCTGTTGATGCGTTCGCGTGGTACCAGTATGCGCTTTGCAGGTCCTCCGCACAGCTGCTCGGCAGTTCGAAATTGGTCGGCGCCGGTCCTAGGTTTGTCATTTTGCGTGGTGGTGATCACTGGCTCGTGTTATATTAGAAAGGTTCACTAGGCAGATGTGGAATTTGTTCATTTAGTTTGTTTGATACGGGCAGATGGTGCGTTGCGACGCCAAGGAGGAGCGGCAATGATACCAAGAATATATGCAGAGGACCAGTTCGATGGCCTCTGGGCTTTTGGGGGTGCATGAGGGCTCTTTCTGGCGCCCATCCTCGCTTGGCATATGAGGGATCTCTTACTGTTTCGTCGTTACTGCATTATGCACCGGGAAGTGTTTGAGGAGCGAGATCAGGATGGATGAATCCTCCGACTGCCCCATGTAGTAGGTCCCCCGCGATTGATCTTACCATGCATCCATGTGGGATGGACTTTGTCTAGGCGAAGAAGATGTGTATATCATTTAAATATACCCGTATCCTAAGGCATTTCTTTACAATATAGAGAGAGCGCTTCACGATGATTCATATAGTCAAGTCTCTCTAACACCTACCTAGGTACAATTATTTGAATACGAGATGGAATATCGTGGCACTTGGAGCATGGCCGCTATCATGAGCGATAAGAGACTTCGGACAGGGGACCCCTTCCTTTTCACTGCGGGTGTAAGCACCATCAACATGGTTGCATTGGCTTCAAACAAGCTATTAGTCACTATCGAGCTGATAAAAATTTGGATGCAAATGACTTGCATGCGTGTGAAAAGGCAACACTTCATCCATGATTCGATGCTTACCTAGCTAGTAATTCCCAGGTTGGTGGGAAGACAAGGTTAACTGATATAAGGATAAGCAACCTCTTGGTTGTATTGATTTAATAATTCCGCTTTATTTCAATCACTATTATCCTAGATAGATAACATATCAGGTAGTTAATCAAGCTAGCAATCAAAAGAGATAGATATATTCTAGTATTATAAGAGGCAAGGAGCTAAGGAGATAGAAAAATAGGATAAAATAAAAAAAGTTTCCAAAGCCAGGAATCGAACCCGGACCCCCGAAGGGCACCCTCGCGTTACCTCTTAGGATGCTACCACTACACCACTCTGGACTTGATGGGGCTTTTCTCGCGTGATACCTATTATTGATAGAAAAAGCATACATATAGCTCTGTATGCATACCGAACAGCGAGCGAAGGGGAGGGGAAATGCTAGGAATCGAACCCAGGGCCCCCTCGCCCCCGAAGGACACAGTTCTGCCTAGAAGGCTTTCCTATGCGTCACCTTAGGGATGCTACCATTACACTACTCTGGTTTTTTTTTGCTTTTGGATACCGAACCATTAAAAGGCTATATAATCAAGATGCACGCAAGGCGAGTTGGTTGCAGTGTTCCTAGGTAGATATCACTGTTGGAAAATGGTAATTGAACTTGCATCGCAGAAGGCATGATTTACCACATCGATCATGAAAGGAATAATTAGTTGCAGCGATTATATATGATGACTTGCCTGGTGTACCTACATTGCTTCACAAGGTCTGAATCAAGCTTTGGTATTCAAAACACATAAATAATCAAGTCGAAAGATGCAGAAGATGCAAAGGAGTAGGCTTGTGTGGCTGTAAGTCAAAGAAACTGGGGTTCTATACTCGACGGCCTTGGAGGTTAGCGTGAGGCTCATGGTGGGGGTGGATCACGCCAAGAACGAGCTGGGGTTGGTGGGGTAGGCGAGGGAGGTAGGTACTATAGGTGTCGAGAGGTGCCCACTCCCCCACTGTAAAGATCCACTGTAAGTCCCTAAGCTCGCTAACGTAGCGGCATGGCCTTCGCTACTCTCTTCCCTCCTCCCTCCTCCCTTCATCCATCACCATCACCACCACCACCACCACCCCCGAAGATGGCGACCAAGAGGAAGCGCCAGAGTAAGGCGCAGTCCACCCTCCCCAACAAGAAGACCAATGTCGCCGCCAGCCTGCCACTGTCCCCTTCTCCGGATGCGCTGGCCCCGGCCAAGTCGACGGACCACCTGGATCCCGCCAAACTCGCCAGCGTCGTGTCCGAGGAAGAGATCGACATCACCGTCGAGACTCTCGAGTCGCTCGCCGCGCACCCCGCCCTGATCAAGTCCAAGGCCTGTCGCAATCTGCGCACCGCCGTCTATGGCTTCAAGCAAGCATGCACAACCGGCATGAACACCATTGGTCAGCGCCGCTTGCTCTTGTCCTCGCCTTTTCGCATCGCATCGTGAACTCTGGGCGCTGACTGCGATGCCTACTAGCCGACACCAACCTCACCTCGCGCGTATCCGCAGCCCTCGTCGACGGCAAATATGTCGACGCTATCGTCCTCCTAGCCGAGATGCGCATCCGCGACCAAGCCCCCAAGCTCGGTGCCCTCTGCCGCTGGGTGCGCGACCTCGATGTCGTCAGCGGCCTCTCCAGCGAGACCCCCGATATCCGAACCGACACCCAGCTCCAACTACTTAGGGTCATGGACATGGTCCTGAGGGTTACCGGGCCCGTCGATGAGAAGTCCGAGGTACCAGCTCTACACACAGGCCCAATAGCCTCGCAGCCGTTGTGGGATAACGGGAACAGCAGCCCGATGCCGCCCATCCGACAAAGTGTACTAGACAAGACCATCTTTGATGCGTGCCCGAAGGATGTCGTAGACAGCTTTCGTGTTCTCGAGACGACCGTAGGCGCCGACCGCAAGCCCCCGAATCTACATCCCGCCGTTCTGTATCTTAGCAACGATAACACCGTCGAGCTAGCCGCAGTTGGGCCAACGACGACACTGCACAAGCATCCCATTGTGCCCAATCTGTCCCTCATGAAGGACGTATTGACCCACCAAGAATGCAAGTCCATCGTCGCAGCCATGGAGTCCGTCGGCTTCCTGCCCGACTGCCCCCTGCGCGACGACGGGTCCGCTTCCAGCACCCTCGCGCACAACGTATACTGGGTCGTCGACCAGGCCTTCCACGACGCCCTGTGGAAGCGGGTATCCCCCCACATCCCGTCCCTCGTCGGCGGGCGGAGGGCACGTGGCATCAACAGGCGTTTCCGCGTCTATCGCTATGTCCCCGGCGCCGAGTATCGCTGCCACTTTGATGGCGGCTGGCCGGCGTCAGGCGTGGACCCCAAGACGGGCGCATATGTCTACGATGCGTCCCCCGAGGGCGCCAAGCAGTCTAGTCTGTTTACCTTCCTGGTGTATCTGAACGACGAGTTCGAGGGCGGCGAAACTACCTTCTTCACCCCCAGCATTAGGGAGGGCGTCATGAATGCCCATCCCGTCCGGCCCACCATGGGGTCGGTGGCGCTGTTCCCCCACGGCGATGCCAAAGGTGTATTGCTGCATGAGGGGACAGGCGTCAGGAAGGGGGCCAAGTATATCATACGGACTGATGTCGAGTTTGATGTCGAGCCTGAGAGGGCTTGAGGAGGCTTGCGTCTGTAAAAGAGAATCAAAAGTTGGCGTTCAAAATGATGACATTCGCTTTGCAGGCCGCGTGCGACCTGATGCGCATTCCGAGACAAACACTCAGCGCATATGGCCATTCGGGCACTGTACTTGCTGTTCTAATGCAAAAAGACGCTGTCGGGCCTCGTCGACTGTGATACTGATAGCAGCAGTGTCGATGAGCCGCTCTATCACTTACGCGTTTTCGCAAGTGGGTGATGCATCTGAGATTATGGCTCATTGCACTTTACGGGTCTCTCTTCACCATCTACACTGACTATCTGAAGATTTGGAGTGTCTTGTTTTAGAAAACCCATATTGATGGAGATATCAATAACTGCAACGAAGAGAACTGTCTATCCCTAGATTCAGTGGTTCTCTTTCTTACGCCTACATAGCCGACATACCTCCAAAGTCGCCCATAGCGCGGGACAACTCGACTTATGTAGATAGGTAGCCCCGGGATGATGCATCATGCCTTATCATCATCTATCAATCTATATGTATACTTACTTACTAAGTACTTATCTATCACTCAATCTATCTACCTATGCAGCAGCAACTCATCCACATTCTCCCGTCTCCTAACCATCAGCTTTACCCCGGGCTGCGCAATCGACGCCCACCCCATGTCTAGCACAGCTGGAGGCTTCACATCCACCTCCTTATTCACATCCGCGTCCGCACCCGCAAACTTGAAATCGTAATGCAGCAAGACATGGCACAGGATGATCTTGACCTCATGCGAAGCAAAGAAGCGGCCGGGACAGGCGTGTTTGCCGTACCCGAACCCGAGATACTCGGGGCTCGTCGAGACGAAATGCCGGGTCTTCTCTTTTTGGGGATCGGGGTCTGAGACCATTTTCGTGAAGCGGTAGCCGTCGAAGGATGTCGGGTCAGATATGGGATCTTGGGTTCGTAGTGGGGTTGTGGTTGTCGGTATCCCGACTTGCGTCCCGCGAGGTAGGAAGATGCCGTTGGAGAGAGTCACGTCTTCGATGAGGACGCGGCGCATTCCGACTAGATGGTGGGCAGGGGTTTGTTAGTTAACGGCAGATTCCAGAGAGAAGAGGGAAGAAAGAGAATAATGGAAAAAGAAATCGAAGAAACACATACGTAACTCGCTCGGCTTCAACCTTTGACTTTCCTTCATGAAACTGTCCATGAGCTTGAGGCTCGCCAGCCCCGACTTCGTCATCCCCTCGCTCTCCAGCACCGTCTCGATCTCCTTCCGCAGGGGCGCGATGTACTCCGGGTGCGCGCAGAGGTCGTACAGCACCTGCGTCACCAGGTCCGTCGTGTTGTGCATCGAGGCCATCGAGAAGCCGAGCTGGAGCAGCGTCGGGTCGTAGCGGCGGCCGTTCGCTACTTCGGTGGCCCATTGCATTACGTCTAAGCGGGGTTGATCTCCCTCTCCCTCGCCCTTTCCTCTCATCCCAGAGCCTTTCCTTAACTTCGCAGCCGACCTCCCCCTCCCCTCCACAACCCCCCCAATAATCCCCACGGCCTCCTCAATCTGCGCACTAACCCTCTTCACCTCAGGGACAAAGCGCCAGACGAGCGGCTGCAGCAAACTCGGCCATGCCTTCAGCGCCATGACGCCACGGAACACGGTCAGCGTGTAGCCGACGGTGACGCGCAGCCAGGCCGGGTCGCGGCATAGTTCGGGGCCTAGGAAGACGCGCGAGCTGACGCGTGCGATGATTTGTACTAGGGTAGCTTGGGCGTCGAGGGCGTGCCAGTTCGTGCTGTCTGTCCAGTGCTCTTTGAATGCCTGTGTTGCTTCTTCGGAGATGACGAGGGTGACGAGGCCTGTTGGGGGGTTAGTTAGGGTGGTTGTTGACGACTGGTCTAGTCACTTCTATGGTGTGATCATAAATAGAAGCGTCGGAAGCGGAATTGAGGTAACGTAACGTACCGAGGGACGGCGTGAGCCGCTTCTGCAGGACATCTTTCGCTATGTCGTTCAAGCCCGCATGCGGGTTGAAGTTCCTGAAGGGCGGGATGTGCGAGAGACATTCCTGGGATTATCACGTTAGCATGGTATTATCTCGTATCTCTTTAAGAAGCAAGTCGTAAATCGGCATCTCTCATTAACTCCCTCCTAAGCACCTGCGTAGATGCGTCGTGCACTGAGATAATGAAATGGGATGAGAGACCAGAGAACAGAGCCAAACCAGGTCCTACATACCTCGGAAATCAAATCCGTAAAGCTGAAGCGCGCATCATTCCGGATCTCATTCGCGAACTCAGGAGACAGCACCACGACCTGCACATCATCCGTCTCAACACGGAAGACAGCCCCGTCCTTAGCCTAATGCGCGCATGAACACTCTCAGTTAGTACAGTACTCGGTAATTAATCAAAGCTTCATGATCCTGCGTATTCCCTCATTTTAAATCCCATCTCATCCTGCCAAGACAACGTAACAGAACATACCCGTGACGTGAGCGAGCGCATATGCAAGGAAATAATCTGTGAACGCAACGAACCTTAGCAAACCCCTCCCTCAAAAGCCCCCGCGCATTAGTGTGAAAGACACGCTTCGACTCGCGCGCCGACCCCAAGCCGAAAAACGGCCTACCGTTCACTAATGGCAGGCGCCGCAGGTAATAGGCAGATAGTGTCTTTTTCCGAAGTATGTTG